GATGTCCTGTATCTTTGTAATAATGCTCTTGATTTCGCTGAGGTAAGATCAGGGAAAAGAAATGGTAATGTAACAGATGAACAGAAGACAGAACGGCTTCAGATCCAGCTTCTCTTTTTTTCCTGTCAGGCAAGTTTTACTTTTCCCATTGAATAAGTAAGAATAGCTCTGAAAACCACACAAAGAAGTGCTTTTCTTTTTTATTACAGAGAGTGTCACATGGTTGGCTCACGCAAGCCTTTGTTGCCCTGGACTACAGATGCTGTTACCAAGGCCCCTGCCTGGCCCTGGGAGAAAGTCTCCTCCCTCTAACCCTTTGAGGGCCACTATAACAGGATTCTGACTATAAGCAACTAAAAAATGGAGGCCAGTTTATAAAAGAGAATATTTTATCCCTTTAAATGTAACTGCAGATGTTTCAAGTGCTACAGATTTATCTGTTTCTGAAATTCAGCCACTATGCTGAAATTTTTAAGCTGGGTTGAACAAAGTTTCAGAAGAGGCTGAGTTTAATGGTACCTAGGCCTGACAATGCCATGATGAACTACTTAATAATCTCATTCCATTCATTTGGGTGGAACATTTGGGTGAACATTTTTTCAAGAAGCATAGCATGAGCAGTGTGGGTGTTGTGACTAGATATTGTGGATTCAAATCTTACCTTGAGTACTTGAACACATTTAGCTGGGCACAATTTGTTTGGACAAATTATTTAATATCACGGAACTCAGTTTTTCTCTTTCCTGTAAAATGTAGATAATAATAGTTCCTATCTCATAGGATCTGGCAAGGATTCAATGAGGCAACATATGTAAAATGCTTAGAACAGAGCTTGGCACATAGTAAGTGTACAAGCGGTGATACCTACTTTTTCTACACAGTTACACACATTTTGTCTCCATTAAATGGTTTCATATCGCATACACCATTTCATAACCTGCTTTCACCACTTAGGAATGGGGTGAAAATAACTTCCTGTGTTAGTAAATATCTTTTTACTACATAAACAGGACCCTTGTAAAGCTGCAACAGGCAGTATATAAGCACAGATTGCTATGCTTTTGTAGCACATGAACTTGCCACTCTCAGCACAGCTAAAGGAATAAGAAATTATCAACTGATGCAAAGGTAAAGTAGAAATCTTCAAAATTGTCAGAAGCTAATGATGGGCCAGGCAGCTCTTCCTAAAGGTTGTAAGTAGGAAAAACCAAACAGATTCTCTCTCTTGGGAAGGCTGAATGTGTGATACGCAGAGTCAACAGATAGATGAGTGGCACACAATGGAGGAAAAAATGCAAAACAAAAAGTGGTTAAGCAGAAGCTAGGAAGTTGAGAAGAGATCAGAAAGGCAGCTCCTCCACAGTGGAAGGGAGGGGCTAGGCTACTGGTGCAGTGACCAGGCTACACTGCATTCCCACTCTTGTTCACCCGCTTTGAGCAAGGCCTCCCTGTGTACTGTGACCCAATTTTCATTTCCAGACAGCCTGGCTGGGCAGCTGCTGTGATACTGCCATATTCTTCCTCATGTAACTGAGAGACCTGTAGGTATGTTTACTCCTAATAACTTGAAAGGGCCTATCTCACCTGCACTTATGTGGCTGCTCTAGTGGTCACATCAATAACTGTAAAACAAAAAACAGTATTTTCTTAAGCACTGGGGATTCAACAGGGAGCAAGAATGAATGGTGCCTGATGACACAGAGTGTAAAGTCTAGCACAGAAGACAAACAAGCAGTATTAATAAAAGATGCTAAATATCATGATGCTAGAAGTACAGACTGCAATAGAAACACAAAAGAAAACAAATCTATAGGGAATCACAAAGACTTCATGAAAGTAACCTTTAGATTGAGGCACAAAGTTAGCCAGGTGTGCCAGATACTGCAGACTGCTCACTCAATGCCCATTCCCACCTACGTGGACTCCACGGCCACCAGCCTTGTGAAGTAAGAATCTCAACAGAATAACTGTGACTGGATTAGCATTTCCCATCAGGCCACCCAAGGGTCTTGGTCTCATTTAACAGGAAGGGTTGGTTTCTTTGGTGGGTAAGCATTTTTCAACACTGGAAATATTTAGAATGAAACATAGAAATGTGTAAGAGAATCAAGCATAGTATAAATATTTCAATGTTAAGGAGAGCAGACAGATTTTGTAATGTTTAAAAGAATGTGTCCTATTAAACTGTAACCTCAATTTTGAAAGTATAATTAAATAATTTATTTCTCATATGATTTTAAGTTGAAAATCCTAAGTTTAAATATACAATATATATTTAAAGAATCTAAGACTGACCTTATTTGTAAATTTAATATGTGAGATTCACAGGACTTTCTGTTAAAGAGTTTCATAGGGTTTTTCTTTAAGTCAGACAACTGAAATTCTCTAAAAAGCAATCAAATTATGAAATTTATAAATGCAATCTGAAACATCTGAAAGTCTTCAATTAACTGGTCTGGGTATTATCCAAAGGCCCCTTAAAGGTGACTAGTAAAATCTCCTATGCTTATAGAGCAATCAAATCTGTAAGAATTATGAAAGAATTAAGTTTTTGAATGCACACTAAAAAAGTCATAACATTAAGAAAACTAAACAAACACCTGAATAGTGATTTCTGCTTACAAAAGCTACCCTTCTAAGGCAATAAAACACATCAGCCTATATTCTCTCTGATTCCAAGTCTTATTCTCTGCTGATGGACAGGATTTGGAAAAGCCACACCCTCCATTTTATTTTGATGGAAGACATTGAAATGTTTGTTTTCTGTAATGTCACATTTCTCTAATTTTTATTGTTTGTACAAACATTTTTTGATACCTTATTCTAAAGTTCCAATCAGTCCACAGACATTTCTTTATCCTCTCAACAATGCTGGAATAAAGTACAGGGTATGAGATGACTCTCCTTGAAAACTGCACTCAAAGTCAGGCAGGGTTCTTCAGGGTTCAGAATGGCAGACTGAGTTTAATTTGAAGCTCAAGTTTCCCTTCAAGACAGGAGGTAGGTAAGATACTGAACATATGATGAGCAAAGTTTAATTATGTGTGCTACATCATTCACTTTCTCATGTCATAAGCACTTTATTCCTACTTCACTCTATTCTCCCTTTTACCTACCAAAAGATAATGATGTGTAATTTCCAGGAAACAAAAGAGTAAGCAATGTGCCCTATATCTTTTCTTACTTCTTTGCTGCATTTTTTATGGCAATCATCTAGTTTTCTACATCTTAGCTGCACTTGTATAACCCAGAAAGAATTCAACTGTAATACTCAAAAACAAAACAAGAATAGTAACAACTAATATAAGCTTTCCCAAGACACGGCCAGATCCAAATGTCCTCTACAAAGGTAGATGTGTCAGAGGTTTGCCTCCGCCCAACTCCTAAAACCAAGCAGCAAGTTTTGCCAAAGGTCTGTGAACTTTTTCCTTTCTCTTTATTCCAGGTCTTCCAGAACCATCACTTTATTTCAATAACCTGTATGAATCCACTGTATGAATCCACAACTGCCATAGTAGGTAACTCTGTCAAACACCACTTTTTGCCTTAGGTGCCTTAGAACCTATATGAATCCACAACTGCCATGGTAGGTAACTCTTTCAAACACCACTTTTTGCCTCAGGTGCCTTAGAACCTATAGGAGCCAATTGGATTTAAATCAAAAGGATGCAGTTTAGGTCCATCAACTGGCTCTATCACACTTATTTGAATAGTCAAATCTTTGGGATCTTCCAGAAAGAATGCTACGAATTTCCATTTGGGGCATTTCTTTAGGACTTTTATTGTTCCATCCACTGTTCCATCTGTTGCAGAAGCATGTATGAATCACTTTCTGTTCATCTAAGCTGTGTACTAGGCACAGGAAAGGAGGATTTAAAATAGGAAACATAATCTTTATCCTCAGAGATTATGATCCAGTTATGGATACCAAATGTATGATAAAATGAATGTGACACAAGCCAATGTAAGTCTGTAGGAGTTGAGAGCAAGAAAAGAATTCCTTGAGTATTCTGAGGGTAAGATTAGTCTAAGAGGACTTCAGCAAGGGCTGGACCCAAAAGAAATGTAGAATTTAGACTTGTTCTAAGCGCTATTTTATATGTTCTTAGAATCAGTCTTAAATCCCCTCTGGAACAAGGAAATAGACCTAAAAACACTATCCATGTGGCAAGGGCAAGTAAATGGGGATGATAAAACTTACACTATTGATTAAGAGTCTCAAATGAGATGATAACATAAGCAGAGCAGAGCATGGTATCACCACAGGAGGCTATGGAGAAACAGTAGCTCCTTCCTCCTGGTTTTGAATTGTAATCTCTTTCTCCATTTTCCCAACCAAACTGTAAGTTCTTGAAGTAAGGGAACTAAGGGTCTAAGACTACTCATTCTAGACTATCTACTAAGATATACTGGGCATGGACCAGAAACTCAACACATGTATGTTGACTATCATGTGATTAAATTTAAAAAAAAACAAACAAACAAAAAACAAAAAAACTTACCTCTCGAGCTATACCATTAACAGCTTCTGCCTAATGAAACTGTGCTTTAGTAACTCTTTGATGGGCAGGTCCCAGGAATCATAGGTGAACATGGGCTGCCTCCTCCTTATCCAAAGTTAATGAGAATGAGCCATTTATACCAATACTGCCTGTTCTTATTTCTCAGAACTGATGAACTATCTCCTTCTTGATCTTCTGCCATGGGTAAGAGAGGCAATGTTGGAAGAGATCTATGGGAAATCACTAGGGGCTGTCTGGTGTAATTAGATACAGTCACTACGATGAGCCCTCTCCCTACATAGAGTGGTGCTTGAGAAACATTATCATGTCACGGCCTGATCACCCCTTTAATCAAGGAGGTACATGGTAACTGTTAAATGCCTTCTTTCTATGACTATGAGTATGTTATTCAGTGAGTGGTGATAAATTAAAGAACTACGCAGATATGACAAGTTCACGATTACAGGGTACAGCAGTGATCTTTTTCTCAGTGTGTACCTCCTCACAGACTTCACGGACTGCTGCCACACTTGGCTCCTCCTCTGGCTCCATTCCTCCTCCAGGGACAATCCATCGGTCGGGATGGCGACTACTGCTCACAAGTAGCACCTGAAAGTCACAGAGGTCACATGAATGGTTAAAAAATGAAAAATATACGTTCATAGAAATTCAGTGTTTAAACATCACATAAGTAAAAGTACCTAAACACCCCTTTGTTTATAACTCTCTAAATCACATCTTGTAAGGCAGTTTTTGTTTCTGTTTGAAAAAGTAAACAATCTGCCTAGTAAAAGTAGAAGGGCATCTAAACCAGTAGCCATTACCTCTACTTTCCCCTCAGACTCTCAGTCACATGTCCTATCTATTCTCTCCCTCATTCTTTTCTCTAAAGCCCTTTGAATATGGAGCAGACAAAAAACAAACAAACACAACATTGTCTATGATGAGCTTGTGAGCACTGTTGTTAAGTTAAGGACTGGCCAGAAGTGAAGAGGTCCTTAGCCCTGGCTGGCACCATAGTTCCATCGCTTTCTCTTCAAGCTCTTATTTCTGTGTGTCTTAGTTCCTGCTCCATCATAGGGCCACAGGCCAATACAATGTACCACCCTAAGCTCTAAGTGTGCACTGAGAACCTGATTCTCTTATCTACATGAGAAGTAGAAAAAATTCTTTTCATCATACTTTCAGTTGAGATAAAATTGGATTTTTTTTTTACTAGGAAATTTTAATAAGAAATAAAAAGCAAAGCAAACAAACATACAAAATACTGATATAGTTTACTAATTCAAACTTAACCAGCATTCTAGTCATGGCTGAAATAAAATCTAGAATTTCCCTAGTCTGTCTTCCTTTTTAGGACAGCTGATGCTAAACAGCTGGACTCCTCACTGGGGGGGGGTAAAGTTGAGTTGGCATTATTTCCAAAATTAAAGGAATCCTCAACTGCTCCCTAAACCATTAATTTCTGATGATGTCTTTTAAGCCTCCATCCTTATTCTAAACCATATTCCTTACCTTATCCTCCACCCCTCCTCCATCACCTAGCACTTAACTTCTACTTTGCAGTCCTTCTTGTTCCTTGAAAATATTACTTCCTCTCTAGCCCTACAGATTCTACCACTGACTTCTGGTTATCTACCTTCCAGTCATCTCTTCTCTCTCCCTTGAGGTCTATGCAACTGTGAGCCCTTGGAAATTCTACCCTTTTCTTCCTGTCATCATAGAGACTCATGATGCTCCTCTATAAAATCTGTGATCTGCAAGCCCAGAGGGGACTAGATTTACAAGAAGGAAATCCATGAATCCATATATAATCACCAATATACAGCCCGTGGACTGAGAAACTATGTTATACTTGCAAGTACTATTTTTAAATGTATTAAGTTTTGCTTTAATACAATGCAGAATAATTTAAAATAATGTAAAATCCATGGTAGCTTTTGTTTGGTATGTAAATATGCTTAATCGAGGGATATTAAAACTACAATGCGGAGGTTTCATGAGATATTGCTTTTAAATATGAGTCCTCACTGGACTCCTACTTCATACCATACACAAAAATTAACGCAAAATGGACCAACAACTTAAATGTAAGAGCTAAAATCATAAAACAGGTAAATTTTCATGACCTTGGATTTGGCAAGATATGCCAATTCTTAGACATCACACCAAAAACCTGAGCAGCAAATGAAAATATAAATTGGACGTCATAGAAATTAAAAACTTATGTGCATCAAAGGACATTATCAAGAACGTAAAAAGACAACCTACAAAGTGGGAGAAAATGTTTGTAAATCATCTCTCTGATAAGAGTCTGGTATCCAAAATATATAAAGAACTCTTGCAACTCAATAACAAAAAGACAAACATCCCTTCACCAAAGAAAACATACAAATAAACAAAAGGCCCATGAAAAAATGCAACATCATTGGTTACTAGAGAAGTACAAGGTAAAACTACCATGAGATACCATGTTACACTGATTAGAATGGCTATAATTTTAAAAATAACAAGTACTGATAGGATGTAGAGAAATTGGAACCCCCATACATTGCTGGTAGGAATGTAAAATAGTTCAAGCACTGTGGAAAAGAGTTTGGTGGTTTCTCAAAAAGTTAAACATAAAATTACCATGTTATCTATCAATTCTACTCCCAGGTATATACTCCAAAGAACTGAAAAAAGGTACTCAAACACTTACATACAAATGTTAAGGCAACATTATTCACAACAGCCAAAAAGTAGAAATAATTCAAATGTCCATCAATGGATGAGAGGATAAACAAAATGTGACATATACATACATGGAATAGTACTTGGTCATAAAAAAAAATGATGTATTGATTTATGCTACATGAAGGGTGAACTTTGAAAACATTATGCTAAGTAAAAGCCAGACTCAAAAAGTCACACATAATGTATGGTTCCATTTATATGAAAGATGCAGAATAGGTAAATCCACAGAGACAGAAAGATTGGTGGTTGCCAGGAACTGGGAGAAGGAAAGAATGAGAGTAACTACTTAACAGATACAGGGTTTTATTTTGGAATGATAAGCGTTTTGAAACTAAATAAAAGTGGTGGTTGCTAAATGCCACTGACTTGTTCACTTTAAAATAATGTTAATGTTATATGAACTTCATCGCAATAAAATAAAACTAGTTTTAAGATCACAGTAATTTTTTTTTTAAAGCTAAAGGAGTCTTTTTTCTTCAGAGTCTACACTCCAGGAGAGTGATCTTCCAGAATGTTACCCTTAGTTTTATAATATTAAATCATAAAGCTAAAATAATACACTATTTCCATAAAAAAGGAGATCAATGCCATACCCATTCTCCTTTAAAACTGTAGCCAATGGCACATTAAAAAAATTCCTTATCAAAAGAAAAATAAACCCAAATATAATCATGTTTGTTAATTCAAGTTAAAAAGCTGAAAAAAAAAAAGGTCCTCCAAAAACAACTCTAGACAATGGCATTAAGTCATTATCTAATCTGCAAGGAAGATTCAAGAAGAAAGGAGTAGAAAAGGGGGTTAATCTTTCACCGATTCGTTATATAAGTAACATGTAGTCTTTCTTCCTAGAGTTCTCCCACTTCCTGGCAGCCCAAAGTGTTTTTAACCAGCCACTGTAAACCTAAGCATTTACTTCAAAGGCTGATTAGGGCCATCCAATCAGGTCATAGAAAGATCTTTACAGGGACATTTCAGAGCTAAAGCAAAGGAAATCGCTAACATAAGGTATAATTCAATTTCTAAATTTCAATCAATGTGAAATATTAATTAGTAAATCTAGCAAGTGTTACTGCTTTGCACATTCAAATCATGACTATGAGGTAAGACCATATATAAAACTGAGGCTGGAGAAAGCAAGTCTCATTACTTTGTAGTCACACTTCAAAGCAGACACTATTACCAGTAAATAGTTCTCTTCAGTATGTTTCCTTGACAACCCATCAACAATTTACTAGGGGGGAAAAATATATTCCTTACTTTAGCCAGAGGCTTTAACCCCTTCTCTACCTTACAGAACAGTAAGTGGTATTCTGGTCACTAAATTTTTATTCTGATGCTTCATTTTTAAATATAAAATGATCTGAAAAAAAATTAAATGGCAAAGCTCCTAAATGATTTTGAAAATGACACACTAAGGAAAAAAAAGTTTGTCATTTATTCAACAAACATTCATTAAGCATTATCATGAGCCAGAAATTAAAACCTCTGCAATTGACGCAGATCAAGGTGGTGAACTGGCTGACCAGGTATCAGATCTTTTATGAAGCTCTCGTCATCGAGACAGGTGATACTGGTGCATGCAGAGATGGATAAATGTACCCACAGAACACGCCCACCCGTATATGAACTCTTGGATTCATGATACAGGTAGTCCTGCTGACACAACTTGTTATCCACACTGACACAGAAGAAAATCATTATAATTATTGGGGACAGGTGTGAGTGAAAGAATAAAGAAATGTGTGGGAATGATAAACCTAATGGGAGATGATTTACATAAAGGACTTTAACTGGCGCAGTAATGTTTTATTTCTTAGTTTTTAAAAAATTGCTTTAACATTACTTAATGCAAATTTTCAAAAGAATATTTTAAAAAGCCACTGAAAGAAATTAAGTGGAGAAAGAAAGGAAAAAAAGAGTAATAACAGAGTAAGGAGTGCTTTGGTTGAGGTATTCAATGACACTGAAAGAGACACCTAACCCAAGCTGGGGAGGCAGTAGAAGGATGGTAAGGGAAGGTTTCTTAAAGAAAGTGACTTGAGTTGAATCCAAGCTCAAGAAGAACATTTATTAAAAAAAAAAACACCTTATCAGAAAAGCCTATTGTGTGATCATGTGCTGTGGACATAAAAGCAAAGCAGACACAACCTCAGCTCTTGAGAAATTAAAAGTCCAGTGGATGAAACCAACAAGAATTCAGGTGACTAAATATATTTCAGTGACTCTGCCAGAGACCACAATGCTCACTAGGTATTTCATGTTCTTGCCTACAGTATCCAGCCCCCTTTTCTGTTAGATGGGGCTATTAGACTAGTTCTGGCAAATGACATATGAGCAAGAGACATGTGTCGCTTCTGGGCTGAGGCAGGGAGAAGCACATCCAGTCTCTCTCTTCCTCTGTCACAGTGTCCAAGGACATGGTGAGTTCCAGTTGGTATAGCTATAAACCTGAGTCCCTGAATGGAAGACAGTTCCTATGTGGAGCTGAGCTTCTGAAAACTCATGACTGACAGCTATAATAACAAGAAATGAACTCTTGTGTTAAAACAATGAGATTTGGGAGTAAATCTGTTTCTGCAGCATAACCCAGTCTATCCTGATTAACACTGTGAGAGGTCAATGAAATGTCTAAGGATCTGTTCTGCTGACTGCCTTAAACCCAATTCCCTAAGCATACAGCTTGACCCATATAAATTGCCAATAAATGTTTGATGAGTAAATGAAAGAATGGACCAGACTGAATGAAAAACTGCTTTTAAAAAGGAATGCAGGGATGGCTCCATAGTGTAGTGGTTAGCACGTCTGCTTTACATGCAGAAGGTCCTGGGTTTGCGCCCCAGGTGGAGCCACGGACCATACCCTGGGTGCGCCAG